CAATGTGTCGATTCTCTCAGCTGGACCCCAGTTGTAACCGGAGATCTTTCCGCCTAGAAAATAACATTCCAGCGGGAAAGTCAATGCGCGTTCACTTTAATATAGGTAGAAAGTAAATAGTTGCCGCCTGATCGCTCTGATCGCTGGTAAGTACTGGTTCAATGTAAGCCCATCTTTCCACGTTAAAAGATCTTTAGAGTCAAATAAAAACTAAATATTGTCAGGAGGCATAAAAAAGGGCACACCCTAAGAAAACAGCTGACATTTCTCAACTGGTTTCCCCGCGAAATGAACGAGTGCTGAGATTCCATACTGATGACGTATCACTACCCAGATCTATCATCATGATTTATTAGCCTTTTTTTACAGCAAATTTTACAGGATACAGCAGGTTGTTAGGCGAGGAGACCTCAAGAAACTACCAGGCTTGTCTAGGCTTATATAGGTAATACTTTTGGTGAGAAATTTGCGACAACCAATGAGAGGTACCATTCAGATCCGGGTAGTGACAAGTCATAGTATGGTATTTTTGAGGTCATTCCTCAGACGTCATTTCGCGAGGAAACCAGTAGTCTGCTACACAGCCGTTTTTTAGTGTCGTCACGCAACGCTCCAGGAAACGAAACCGGTGGTGTTTTTTTAAAGCTGTTTTCTAGGGATAACAAATGCACGGACGCACTAAATACAAAGTAAATCAGTGATAAAGGAGGATACATGGATGGAGAGATGAATACAAGCGTTTGTTTGAAGTCATTCAAAAATTAGCAAAGTGGCGAAAATTCTTTAATTTAACATCTCATTAACATCGTGACAGGAGTTAAAAAAATTATAGACGCAACAAAAAATAAAACAAAACAAAACAAAAAGAAAAAAATGTTGCAGCCTAAATCACAGTAACTTTGTTTAATATGCCAAAATAGTCGTTACAAAAGAAAATTTTTTTGGTAACGAAAACATTGAAGTTTGTATACAAGTGTATTTTGTATTAAAACAACAGGTAAACGAAAGACATCAAAATAAAAACAAAGTAAATCAAATGCAACAAAAAAGACCATTGACTTGTGTAGTTATAGTTTTCTGTTAACCTGGGATCGAGTTTTCTAAAACATACGCGATCAGGCCGTGATGCTAAACGCATGACGACGTGACAATTCCAAGTAAAACGCATTTGAATGCATTCAATAAAAATTACCTATTTTTAATAATATTTTTAACTCTCTTTCTTCATTGCAATACTCTAGCATTTTCAATTTGAGATTTAATTAATTACAATTTCTGCTACAGTACGTGCCTCCCGGACGTTTCGTACTGCTTCAAAGACTGGTTGTCGAAAGCAGGATTTTCGGCAAAACCATCCACGATTCGGCTGATCCAGGAAAACCCGGGATGAGGATCAACTTCAAAATTGGTAAAAGTTGTCTCTTCCGTTACCAATTCTGGCAATATTCAGGCAAAATGGCTTCAACACAATTTGAAATAATAGAGGTAAACTACGAAAGTTCTCCACAGGGATTAGTCAATTAGGGATAGTAGAGTGGGCGAAATATGCGTGCGCGCGGGAAAATTCCACGCGGGAAGCAATTTTTTCCCGCCCGCTTTACTATCCCCCAGGAAAACTACCGCTGTCTGTAACACGGGTGTCTACACAATAGACCTTATTCGAATGCTTGTTTTGTGGCCCCATTGTATACCACGTGATCTCACGAGATGTGATTCTTTCCCTTGTCGGAAATTAAAGAGAGAATACGAGCATGAATACAGGACAGCCACTTTCGACAGAATTGTAATCAAATGAGTCACTTTTGCAGCATATTGTTAACCTACTGCACATGACCCATTCCTTGTCCTAACTAACCACTTTTACTGTATGTCGAAGCAGTACACGCTTACTTTGGGATAGTAAAAACCCGTGTGTAACTACCTAGTTGTTAGAGCGGTTTGCATTTGAGTGTCGAAAAGTAATTGGTTTTGCACTTTCTACACGATGCGATTGGCTTAAAAGATTCGCGCCACCTTTTCATCCAATCAGAAGTAAAACCAAAGCCAATTGTGACGCGCTCGCATGCATTTTCCCGCGCTTTGCGTCAGCCACATGTAATTACTTCGAGTTTTGATTGGTTCAATGTATTGT